TTCAAGGCCAGCCTGGTCTACAGAGTGAGTTGCAGGACAGCCAAGGCTTCACAGAGAAAACCTGTCTCAAAAAACCCACAACAAAACAAAACAAAAAAGGCCCACAAATTTGGATGGAGCTGAACAGGGCACATGCCTTTAATTCCTCAGCGCTCAGGAGGGAGAGGCAGGTGGATCTCTGCAAGTTCAAGGCCAGCCTGGTCTACAAAGCAAGTTCCAGGCCAGCCAAGGCTACAAAGTGAGACCCTGTTTCAAAAGAACAAACAAACAAAAGCTTGGATGGTGCTGGGCACGGTAGCACAAGCTTATAATCCCAGCTACATGGGAAGCTAAAGGCAGGCAGGTCCAAAGTTCAAGGCATGCTTGGGCTAAAGAGTGAGTTCAAGGCCAGCCTGGAGGACTTAGTGAGAAATTACCTTAAAATAAAGTCGGGGCTGGAGAGACAGCTTAGCAGTTAAGAGTTTACTGCTCTTCCAGCGCACCTGAGTTCAATGTCCAGGACCCACGTGGCAGCTCACAACTCTCTGTAGCTGGAGTTCCAGGGGGATGCAGCGCTCTCTTCTGGCCTCCGTAGGCACCACACCCACATGGTGCAAAGATATACATGACTGTGAGACACCCATACACATGAAATAAGAATACAACTTCTTTTTAAAGTAAAAAGAGGCTTGGACTCAGTGGTGGAGCACTTGATTAAGGTGCTATGGCCCTGGGTTCAATTTCCTTGACTGGGTCTCTAATTTCCTTTGCTGATGCTGTCATAAAACACTCCAACTAAAAGCAACCAGGGGAGGAAAGAGTTTATTTGGTTTACTATTCCAGGTAACAATCCAACATTGGAGGAACGCAGGACAGGAACTCAAGACAGGAACCTAGAGGCAGGAACCATGGAGGAAGGCTACTGCCTGGAAGGTAGACTTATGATCGGCTAGCTTCTTTATATAGCCTAGGACTACCTCTGCCCAGGGAATGGCACTGCCCATGGTGGGCTGGACCCTCTTTTTTTTATTTTAATTTTTTAGGTTTTTTGAGACAAGATTTCTCTGTAAACAGCCCTGGCTGTCCTGGATACTTGCTTTGTAGACCAGGCTAGCCTCAAACTCACAGAGGTCCTCCAGCCTCTGCTTCCTGGGTGCTGGGATTAAAGGTGTACTCCATCACGCCCAGCCAGGCTGAACTCTCTTACATTCAATTAACAATCATGACAATCCCTTCCAGACACGCCCTCATACCACCGTGATAAAGACAACTACTCAGCTGAGACTCCTTTTACAGGTTCATTCCAACCCATGTCAAGTTGACAGCGCTAACAAGTCAGGTGGTTTTCTCAAAACCTGGACTTCTGGCTTCTTCTGTGCCCTGAAAACTAGACGATGTTGGCTGAGTTCCCGGGGGGGGGGTCCCCCAGGAGCTCAGCCACAGCCTCTGCTCAACCCCTGCTGGCCACCTCACCTCCCAATGCACTCAGCTCTTAGTCAATCTTTCCTCATCACTGCAGCTCAGTCACAGGCCTTCAGAGCTCCAGCGACGGAGGAAAGATTTGAACCTACAAACCAACTCCCCGAACCCACCATGCTGCTGGCCCTAGGGGAAATCTTTGAGAGATGAGAGGCCTAGCAGGTGGACAGTTTGCCCTGCCAAAGCTAGTGGCTACTGAGAGTATCTCCCATGGGGAAAGGGGCCTGGTAGCCGGAACTCACACATCAGGTTGCTGATTTCCTATTTCTTTGACCTGGGGTTCCCTCTGCTCAGAGTGCTCTCACCCTTTCTCTCCCAGTTTGATGTTGAACTGAGGTGCTTCCTCCTCCAGGAAGCCCTCCCTAGCTCTGACCAGGATGGGGGAGGACACGGTACATCTGGCTCCTGAACCCTGATCCAGGAAAGCAGGGAAGCTGGGGCCTGGCTAGAAGAGACTGGATTAGCAGTGACATGGATCCCAGAGGAAACCCTGGCTCGTGTTCTGCCTCACCGAGCATGCTCTGTGAAGTGAGGAGAGGAAGGGACAGAAGGGAATGAGTGATACTTGGCAGCCCTGGGAGTCGGGATCCCGGCCATAATCCCCAGCTTCAGGCCAGGCATGATGTGTATACCTTTGATCCCAGAGCGGGAGGCAGGAAGAACTCTGAGATCAGCCTGGTTTACATTGTGAATTCCAGGCCATCCAGGGCTACCTAGTGATAACCCGTCTTAAGGAAAAATTTAAAAAGAAAATTAAACAAAATGAAACCTTCCTATGAACATGACCTTGGGCCTTTCTTGATGGTTCTGTGCTTTAGTACACCCCCCCCAGCAGAAAACACACACACACACACACACACACACACACACACACACACACACACACACACACACACCAGCTACCATGAGGCCCAATGGAGTAGATGAATGTGAGGCTGGAGTGCTATGAATAGAGAGGACTTCCATGGGATCACTGGGGCCGAGAGGCCTCCAGCCTTTTTCCCCTGAGCTGTGTGGGAGCAGATCGCCCTCACTGTCACCGTACTTCTGTCATCCTCGGCCCTTTAACCTGGGTCCACCCCTCCTCAAAGGCTTCTGGTAGAGGGACAGGTTACTCTTGGGGTAGGGCACCCCTCCCCGCCACATGCCTTGACACAGCGGTGTATGTCCGGATCCAGGCACACATGGCCAGCTCCTGAGCCTTTGCCTGCCTGGGAAGAAATATCTCGTCAGAGGCCACCTCCCTGGTCTAGGAGGGTGGGTGGTTTCCTGGCCTGAACAATGGGGCCGGGATATCCCTCAGCTTCTGGTGTGCAGGGGCGTGAGGACGCCTGACAGGGGTGTCACTGCCATTCATTCAGGGAGCCTAGCAAAGGCGGCCACGAGGCAGGGGCATGGTCAGGAATCAAGGAGGCGGCAAGTAGAAGCCTGCTGTGGGCCACACTGAGTCTCTGTCTCAGTCCCCATCCTTGTGGGACAACTGCATGCATCCGTGTGACCCTTAGCAAGAGACTCATCTGGCCAGGCCTCAGTTTCTCCACCTGTAAAGTAAAGAATGGTAGGAATATCCACTCCATGGGGTGGTTGAAAACTGAACATTGTTTTTGGGTTTTTTGTTTGTTTTTTTTTGGGGGGGGGCAGGGTTGTTTTTGTTTGTTTGTTTGTTTTAAAGACAGGGTTTCTCTGTGTAGCCCTGGCTGTCCTGGAGCTTACTCCATAGACCAGGCTGACCTCGAACTCACAGAGATCTACCTGCCTTTGACTCCCAAATGCTGGGATTAAAGGTGTGCACCACCACTGTCCTGCTCACCAATTTTCTCTAAAGTCACATGCCGAGACTCAGCCACCACCTACATGGGTAAGACTCCCACTGTCCACCTGCAGACATGTGGCCTCAGACAAGTCACCTCTTTGTTCCTCAGCTGTAAAAGAAAGCTGACTATGGTCCCTCCGAGGCCTGTGAGTCGGCACAGCAGGTAAAAGTGCCAGCCAGAGGCTGACAACCTGAGATGGAGCGCTGGGAACCACATGGTGGGAGAAAGAACAGACTCCTTAAGTTGTCCTCTGACCTCCACACGTGTGTCATGGCATGTACACACACACACAAACACACACACACAAATGAATAAATAAACATTTTAATCCCTGTGCAGAGAGATGTGTGAAAAGCTGGGCAACACAGAGTGCTTCTCTTGGATGCTCACAGTTCCTGTAGCAATCAGCATCCTCAGCCTGGCCTCCTCAACTCTGGATTGCCGTGAATAGTCACCATGGAGTTGGTGGTGCGGTGTGAATATGGTCTGTCTACCAGATGTCACCTGAAGCTTGGTCCTCGGTGTAACCATCATGAGAGGTAACAGGGGACTAAGGGCAGGAGGATGGGTAGAGCTGGGTTAGTTTTCATAGGATTGGTTAGTTCTCACAGGACTGGTTAGTTAGTTCTCACAGGCTGAGTTAGTCTCACAGAACTGGTAAGTTCCCATAGGCTGGGTTAGTCTCACAGGCTAGGTTAGTTCTCACAGGACTGGTTAGTTAGTTCTCACAGGCTGAATTAGTCTCACAGAACTGGTAAGTTCCCATAGGCTGAGTTAGTCTTACAGAACTGGTTAGTTCTCACAGCCTGGGTTCTCACAGGACTAGTTAGTCTCACAGGCTGGGTTAATTATCACAGGACTGGTTAGTCACACAGACTGGGTTAGTTCTCACAGGATTGGTTAGTTCTCACAGCCTGGGCTAGTTATCGTGACAGAACTGTATTAGTTATCTCAAAAGCAGGTTCTTATGAACTGAGGATACTCCTTGGCTTTTGTCCCTTTTCCTGCCTGCCCTTCACTTTACCTAAACACAGGGCCAAGGAGCCTTCCTAGAGCCAAGCAGATGCCCACACCATGGACTTGCACTTCAAGCCTCCACTGCTGAGATCCAGATAGTCTTCTTCATAAGCTGCTCTGCCTCTGCTATTCTGTCAAAGCAATGAAAAATTCTTGATAAATTAAGAGGTCATATTCTTTTCTAAACAAGTTCTCAATTTGTAGCCCAGGCTGGCCGGGAACTCCCTATGTACTCCAGGCTATCCTCAAACTCACAGAAATCTGTAGACTGAAGTTTCCCTGTCCCACCCAGTCCCACCTGGGGAAGCAGCCATTTTTATAAAATAATCACTCAGAAGCTTAATATTAATTAGAAACTGTATGGTCTATGGCTCAGGCTTATTGCTAGCTAGCTCTTACATCTTCAATTAACCCATTTCTGTTAATCTATACGTCGGCTGTGGCTTTTCTGGTCTGCTGGCATCTTGTTCCCCAGGCAGCTGAATAGTATCTCCTCAACTCTGTCCTCTTCTCCCTGTGTCTCTGCTTGGATTTTCTGCCTGGCTCTATTCTGTCTTACCATAGGCCAAAGCAGCTTCTTTATTAACCAATAGTAGCTGGGCGGCGGCGGCGGCGGCGGCGGCGCACGCCTTTAATCCCAAGCACATGGGAGGCAGAGCCAGGCAGATAGATCCCTATGAGTTTGAGGCCAGCCTGGGCTACAGAGTGAGTTCCAGGACAGGCACCAAAGCTACAAGGAGAAATCCTGTCTCGAAAAACAAAACAAAACAAAACAAACAAACAAAAATCAGGAAACTGAGGCCCAGAGAGACAAAGGAGGTCCCCACATATACGTAAGCATACTTGAGTATGGACGTCTGGGTCCCCTAACACTGCAGATTGTTAAAACCCTGAAACCAGGGGCTTGGGATGGGGGTCAGTTGGTAGTGTTTTGCCTAGCATGCATGAAGCCCTCGATGCCATCCAGGGTCACATTAGGTGGGTACAGTGGCTCACATCTGTGGTCTCACCACTGAGGAGGTGGAGGCTGGAGGGCAGAAGTTCAAGGTCACCCTTTGTCTACAAGCCTGGTGCACCCAGAAACTCCCTTAGGCCCCTTGCTCCCATTGCCCCAGATGCCCAGACTTTTCTGCATATTCCAGCCCCCTTCATGTGCCAGCGACCCACAGGTATTGTGAGCCCTGGAGGCAGCCCTGTTCACCGGATGCTTCTCAGCTCAGTCACACAGGAGTGACCGCCTGAGATCCCCTGTGGTGTTTTCCGGCACAAGATGGAGGGGGGGGGGGGCTCAAGGTGGGAGAGCATCTCAGGGCTGCAGTCAGCTCCCCCTTCCTCACTCCATTTCCCCGGGTGCCTGGGGTGAGAGGAGGCAGCAGGGGCCGAACAACAGAGCTTTGAGGCGGTATCTGTGGAGGGAAGTGGGGGAGATTAGGGCTTCTCATTTTTCCCACCATCCCAGAAGATAACTGGGGTGAGGGGTGGTGACGGGGCTGGGTCCTCATGCTAACTAGCCCTGCAACCATCCACCTGCCCCCAGGTCTCCCACCACCCATCCGTTCTCCAGGACTCCAGGCTGAAACCCAAGGAGCAGCTCGGAAGAAGGGTAGAGACAGCCGATAAGGCTTCGGGCTGTGCTGGCCTAGGCCCAAACTTGTAAACATCACCCCAACTGCTCTCACCCTCATCCACCTGCAGTCCCCGAAGCTGCCCTAAGGCACAGCCCCTGCCTGGAGTCGTTCATCACCACCAGCCCTTTTAAAAGGGGCATCCAGTCCACATGCTATAATCTTACCGTAATCTCTGGAGGCAGACTCAGGAGGACTGGGGGTTGGCACAAGTTCGAGGCTAGCCTCCACCACACAACGATACCTACCCTGTGTCAATGTCAGAAAATAGAACATGCCTGGCAGTCCGACTTGGAGTACCTGGAGAGACCCAACTCCACAAAGTTGTGCTCTGAACTCCACATCTGTGCTGTGCTACACATACAGATAAATGGGGGGGGGGGGTTGTTGTTCAATAGGCTGGATGTGTAGCTCAGTGGTGCAGTACTCAGCTGGTGTATGCAAGGTTTCTTCCGCAGGGGCACATGCAGGAGAGCCCACAGGTTTGACTGTAAATGTTGCCTCCCGGACTAAGTGGCTTTGTGTCTGAGTGGACAGGTCACATCTGGCCCCAGCAAACACTACCCTGTGGGGAGTCCCAGCAGTGCCTTCCGTACATGCTCTGTTTCTCCTGATCCCTCCGGAACCCTGTGAAGGCAGGGCTGGCCTTTCTTGCACGATCCCCATCCTGTGGTGTCGACCCCTTCAGCAGATTTCCTGAGAAGCGGCCACTTGTGGGCAGAGTTGTCATGGGAGGCCCAAGGGTTGAAGACTGTGGAAGGGTGACCTGCACCTGGGCTGGCCACCCACAGATGGTGAGTGGGTGGGTGAACCAGTGAATGGGCCAGTGAGTCAGTCTACTCATTTCTCAGCAGAGGGGTGGGGGCTTCCTCCTCGGCCTGTCCATCCCCGCCCTTCCCCTAGTGGAAGCAGCAGGTGGCTGGGGTACCAAGGACCAAGGGACAGATGTACTTCCCCTAGACCAGCAATCCAGAGCTGCCTCCTGCTCCATCCTCCCCTAGGTCTGGACCAAGGTCCACACTGGCCTTTATCACATCCGCCTTAGCACCAGATCTGACTTCTTTTGGGGGGAAGGGGGGGTTTCCAGACAGTATTTCTCTGTGTAGCTTTGGAGCCTGTCCTGCATCTCACTCTGTAGACCAGGGTGGCCTCGAGATCTGCCTGGCTCTGTCCTGGGATTAAAGACGTGAGCCACCACCGCCAGGCTCCAAATCTGATTCTTATAGCAGAACAGAATGATCGTTAGATGGGAAAACTGAGGCCCATGGGGGGAAAGGCTTTCTTTGAGGTCAGAGTGCAATGAAGTAAATGGGAAGAGGTCTCAGGGGTCAGGCCTGCTGTTCTGGGGCTCCTCAGACCTCCTTGTCCTCAATTGCCCCACCCCGTCACCACCCCCACCCTCACCTCACACCCTTGCCCCCATTTCCAGTGACAGGAATGCTGAGGACTCTTCTCCCAATATGACGTGGCATTGGAAGAAATGCATCTGTGTCTCTATAGTCCTCCGAAGAGACTCTCAGCCTCAGTTTCCTTATTGTGAGTACTGCTAGGCCCTTGCCCAGCGTCCTCTAAACCAGATAGGATGCTGCAAGCCTGAGACCCCAACACTCAGGAAGTAGAAACAGGAGGATCAGGAGTTCAAGGTCCTCTTCAGGTACATAGGAGTTAGAGAGCAGCCTGGGATACACCAGACCTTATCTCAAAACAAAACAAACTAACAAAAGCACTGCTCCAAGGAACCTGGGGCAGAGAAGGGATGTCAACCACCCTGGAGAGAGGATGTCCTAGGTCCCCACGGACTCCACCCACATCCCTGTCTCCTCTTCAGGACTGGCTTGGCCCACCCTTCAGAGCAGGATGTGGCTGCTGAATGTAGGTGGGGAAGAGGAAGGTGTGGGGGCAGGGCGCACAGGAATCTACATCCTGGGGACCAGGAGATGGCAACTCCAGGTGTTGGTGGCCCAGCTTCCGGCTCAGGCCTCGGGGAGAAGCCGTGAGTTGCCTCCTGGGATGCAGCGTTTGGCCCGCAGCCCACAGCCCCTCCTAGACCTGGTGCCAGCGTTTCCTCTTCCCTTTTGGTTGGGGAGACATCCTGGAGCCAGTGCTCAGGGTCTGGGTCCACAGGCTTGGCTCATCCTAAATCCCAGAACCTCTAAGTCCCTGGCAAATGGGTGAAGCTGGGTGCTGAGGTACAGGGCTCCGCAAAGCACTCCTATATTTACACATCGCTGACCTCGGAGAAGCCAAGTTCCTCCTGTGGAGAAGGCCTGCGAAGTCAGTGGGCAAGCGAGTGAGCGGTGGGGAGTGGTGGAGCCTGAGGCCAAGGGTCTTAGGAGGTGCAGTCTTGTCTCGAGCCAGCTAGTGCTAGGCCCTGGGGCTCTTGTTTCTGAATCCAGAAATCTGCGTTCAATGTAAAATCTCCTGATCTAGCGAAATTTTTTGTTGCTTGGTTGTTTTTGAAACAGAATTTGGGGGCTGAAGAGATGGCTCAGCAATTAAGAATACTTCAGTCCCAGGGGATCCGATGCCCTCACACAGTTACATGCAGACAAAACACCAGGTCACATAAAGTAAAAATAAATGATTTTTTATAATATATATATATATATATATATATATATATATATATATATATATATATATATATATATATATACTAAGTTTTAACTATAACTGTTAGTCTTCACACTCACCATGTAGCTGAGGATGACCTTGAACTTCTGACCCTCCAGAGTCACAAGGATATGCTGCCACCTCTGGTTAATTGACATTAGGGATCAAACCCAAGGTCTCACGTATGCCAGGCAAGCACAATGCCAACAGGCTCTATTCCCCGGGGCGCTCTAAGGAAAGCTGTGTGAGCAAAACACATGTGTTCGCAGGATGTGGCCTGCAGGCCACCGGTGGACCACGTGATCTCCTCTGGACGCAGCCATCGTCTTCCAGATGAGGAAAAGGAAGCAAAAGCAGAAACACGTACACAGTACCCAGAGCAGGACGCAGAGAATCCTACGCTCAGACCCAGGCCTCCCCGTTCCCTGGCTTGTAAAACAGAGCACAGCTCTTCCTTCCAGAGTCTGGCTAATTAACAATAACGCGGCCATCACAGTCCTGGAGGGACCAGGAAGTGCTTCATGAGCTGATCCTGATCTGGCATTGTCCATGGTGCAGGAGCGAGGCCGACCGGAACGCATGCTTCCAAGGAAGGGGTAAATCCATCTTGGCATACATACATCTGCTCTCTGGCTCAGGAAGAATGCTCCAGAAATGGACTGGGACAGTGGGCGGGGAACTCTTTCCCAGGAACCTTTTGACGCATTTTAATTGTTGGCCACGTGACTTCGGCAGCTTTTCCTAAAGAAAAGAGCTGTTTTGTTTATTTGTATCTAACTGTTTCCTTTTCTCTCTGTTTAGGTCTCTAAGTCTGGGGCATGAAAGGGGATCTGCAGGTGTCCCTGAGGTCCCTGCAGAGGGTGGGGGAGGAGATCCCAGAAGAGCCCTACTGTACCACACCACACACTCCGTCCTCCACACAGCTCTGTGGAGCCAGGCAGTGATCACCCCCATTTTCACACAGGAAGAAACTGAGTCAGGAACAGGATACTGAGGAAGCCGGCCCCGGGACAGGCCAGGTTCTGGGGCCTCCCCTTTCTCAGCCAAGAATTCTCACCCAGGGGTGTGTGGCAGTCCCGTTCCGGCCCAGAATGGTTTCAGGTTCCTTCCCTGAGCCAGGGGGCGGTTCCGGCTCCTCCATACCCTATACTCTTTCAATCCAGCTGGGCTGGGAGCAGCTGGGCTCCTTCCGGGAATGCCCCAGCCCAGGTCTCAGGACTGGCTACAATCCAGCCAGACTTTACCATCCCTGAACCTCTGGCCCAAGAGGTAGGTGAGGCATCCTGGGAATTCATGGTGTCCCTCGGGCCCAGGAACAGATAGAGCATCATTTGACTGACTCCTTTAATGAAAAGACCAGAGAGATTAAGCCCTTTGCCTAAAGTCACACAGTAAAGAGACACAGCAGCGTCAAACTTCAGCAGTTCAGATTTGACTGTAGAAGAAATAGAAGACTACATCTGCGTGGTGAAGAGGCATGCTTTTCAAGGGGTGCTCCCAACCCTTTGGCTTTCTGCCCCCTCCTCCACTTGACTTGTCCCCAGCAGTCACATTATGCTGGGTAGTTTTTTGTTAACTTCACACAAACCTGAACACAGAGCCCAGCCCGCTATGGTCAGTCACTCCTGGCAAGTATAAGAAAGTGAACTGGAGCAGACCCGAGCAGACTCTAGCAGACCCAAGCAGCCCCCAGCAGGCCCCAGCAGGCCCCAGCAGGCCCCAGCAGGCCCCAGCAGGCCCCAGCAGACCCCAGCAGTCCTAAGCAGACCCCAGCAGACCCCAGCAGGTCCCAGCAGGCCCCAGCAGGTCCCAGCAGGTCCCAGCAGGCCCCAGCAGGCCCCAGCAGACCCCAGCAGGTCCCGGCAGGCCCCAGCAGACCCCAGCAGGCCCCAGCAGACCCCAGCAGACCCCAGCAGGCCCCAGCAGACCCCAGCAGGCCCCAGCAGACCCCAGCAGACCCCAGCAGGCCCCAGCAGACCCCAGCAGGCCCCAGCAGGCCCAAGCAGCCTTTCTCCATGGCTCTGCCTCTGCTCCTGCTTTTGAGTTCCCGCTCTGACTTCCCTGTGACAGACTGTGACCCAGACATCTAAGCCTAATAAACCCTTTCTTCCCCAAGTTGCTTTCATTCACAACATTTGACCTGGTGACAGAAACAAGCCAGGATACCCCCTCTGGACATATCACACCGCTGTCTGTCCGGATGACTGCTCTCTGCCTCCCAGGAGGCATGGACAGTGGCTGCTGTGCTCAGCTCAGGTTTCCAAGCACTTGAATCTTGAATTCCAGCCCGTGGGATTCAGCAGAGGCAGGAAGATCCCTGTGATGTTAAGGCTAGTCTCGTCTACAGAGCAGCCATTGCTGCATGGTGAGACCTGGACTCAAAACAAAGCAAACAAACGAAAACCAGAGCGAGAAAGAGAAATAAAAACAAAAGGCTAGATACGGTAGTGCAGGCCTATAATCCTGTAATCCCAATGCTTGGATTGTAGAGGCAGGAGGATCAGTAGTTCACATCTTATCTTCATCAACACAGCTAGTTCAAGGCAGCCTGGGCTATGTGAAATATGCTGTCTCTGTCTCTCTGTCTCTCTCTGTGTCTCTCTCCCTTGCTGTTTGAATGTAGATGTATGAGGTGTGTATGTCTCTCTGTCTGTCTGTCTCTGTCTGTCTGTCTGTCTCTCTCTCTATATATATATGTCTCTATCTATCTCTATCTCTCTCTTTATCTCTCTATCTCTCTGTGTCTCTCTCCTCTCTTTGAATGGAGATGTATGAGGTGTGTATGTATATATATATATATATATATATGTGTGTGTGTGTGTGTGTGTCTATCTCTCTCTTTATCTCTCTGTCTCTCTGTGTCTCTCTCCTTCTCTCTTTGAATGGAGATGTATGAGGTGTGTACCTCTCTCTCTCTCTCTCTCTCTCTCTCTCTCTCTCTCTCTCTCTCTCTCTGCCTGCAGGTGTATGGGTATAAGGGCACCCTTATGGCCACACATGTGCACTCACTCCTGAGGTGGCCAGGAGTCTTCCTCCACTGCTCCCTTCCCTTACTCATTGAGACAGCCTCTCTCAATCAAATCCAGAGTTCATTGATTTGGCTAGTCTGGTTAGCCAGCTCACTGATGGGGATCCCTGTCTGTCTTCTAGCGCTAGAATTACAGGCAGATAGCCACGCCCAGATGGCATGTATGTGGGTTCTGGGGATTTGAACTCTGCTCCTTACACCTGAGGAACACAGCAGGTGCTTTGCTGACAGCCATCTCCCCAGCCATGAGCCTCTTTAAAAAATGATTAATTCATTAATTAAAATTTATAAATAAATTGAACAGAGCCTGATGCGCAGGGCATGGCTATGAAACACCCCATGCCTCTGCTGCTCCATTTTTCTTTTCACACACTGAATCTTCACTCCTGGGGGCTCCCCACTTCAGGAGGAAGGTTCCCATTGGCTCTGCTTTCCAAACAGGGAAACTGAGGCTCAGGCATTTAGCAATGTGTTCAGTTTTTTTGTTTTTTTTTTTTGTCTTTTTAAGGAATTTTATTTTTCAGCCTGGTGGTGGTGGTGGTGGTGGCGGCGGCGGCGGCGCATGCCTTTAATCTCAGTACTCCAGAGGTAGAGGCAGGTGGATCTCTGTTAATTCGAGGCCAGCCTGGTCTACGTGGTGAGTTCCAGGATAACCAAGGCTACATAATGAGACCCTGTCTCAAAAACAAAAAGCAAAACCAAAGAATTTTACTTTTTATTTTTAACCATGTGTATACCAGGGTCAGAGGGGGATGTGTGCACATGAGTACAAGTGCCTTGGAAGGACAGACGAGGGTGTCAGATCCCCTGGAGCTTGAGTTGTGAACAGTACACCAGTACACATGCATGCTGGAAAGAGCAGTAAATGCTTTTTTTTTTTTTTTTTTTTTTTTTGTTTTGTTTTGGTTTTTTTCAAGACAGGGTTTCTCTGTGTGGCCCTGGCTGTCCTAGAACTCACTTTGTAGACCAAGCTGATCTTGAATTCACAGAGATCAGCCTGACTCTGCCTCCCAAGTGTCACCATCGCCCAGGTTTAAACATTTTTTTGTATTGTTTTGTTTTGTTTCATTTTGAGTTTTTTGTTTTTTGTTGTTTTGTTTTTTTGTTTGTTTTTTTGTTTGTTTTTGAGAAGGGGGTCTCAGTATGCAGCTCTGGCAGACCCAGCCCTAGCTGTGCGTCCTTCCAGGTTCAGGTCCCCTGACCTTGGGTTGTCAGTACTTTCTGAGGCCGAGGACTCCAGCAGCAGAGAGCTGAGCAGCCACAGTGGATGTTGGAGCATGCATGGCATCGGAAGCTTGGCCAGTCTCCAGCCCGCATCTGTCCTACAGGGCTGTGGTTTTGTCCCTTGTAAAGGAGGACAACAATGACACCTCCTGGCCTGTGACTGGACCCCGTGAGGAAACACTGTGTGGACAGAACTTCCAAAGACTCTTCGGGGCCTTCCAAAGCCCTGAGACTGGATGTTTGTGAAAAGGACTTGACTTCCCAAAGACGGGGGTCCTGAGAAGCTTGGCGGAGCCTGAGCCCGAAGGCAATGCTGACTGCCTGGGGAGGACAGCGATGGACGCTTCCCAAGCTAAGCCAGAAGCCCCTCTAAAAGAGGGCATCAACTTTTCCAGGGTAAGGGTATATGACCAGAGCTGGCAGGGAGCCAGCAGGGCAGGAGGGCTCAGCAAAGGGCTTCTGGGGTACAAGTGGAGCTGAGGAGCTGGAAAGCCAGGTCAGAGCTCAGGTGAGTCCTCCCCACCCACGCCTGGCCTTCCCAGGAAGATAGTCCCCCTTCAGACCCTCCTGTCGCCAGCCTGTGACCAGGCCTGGGCTGCTGATGCCCCTTGTGCTGACTCATGTCCGCCTGCCTGGCCCTGGCCGGAGGCGGGGGTGGACCCCAATCCCTGCTTGACCTTATCAGGCCTTGCTTGTGTCCAGCTGCCTGGACATGGGCAGGGCCTTGGCCCTTCCCCCTCCTATGGCCCTGGTTGAGCAAGGCTTGCATGAGGTCATGGGAGCCCAAGGCAGAGAAGGCCAGAGAGTGTAGTAGCCTAAGAAGGGACAAAAGCCACAAACAGCCTGTCTGAGGTGTCCTATGAGTCTTGCCTGCTGGTCCCTGCCTCCTGGGTAGGGCTGGGCACTGGCTATTTTTAGTTTCCAAATGAGAAATGGAAGAACCTGGATGTAGCAGCTGCTATGCTTAGCCTGCCACAGCCTGGCTCTGGGCACACGGAGGCATGCCCCATCGTCAGGGCACGTTATGGGGATACACCCATGCCCACAAGTATATACGTGGACATGGCAGTTAATGATAGTGTGTACCATACCTACATCCTTTCCTGTAGATGCCAAGACAGCATCCATGTATGCATGTGTTTGTATTGACACAACCCTAGCAGGCATGCCAATATACAAAGCAACCTGCACGCTCCAAGGTAGGCAGCCTGGGCAGCACTTGGGAGGCAGAGGCAGGCGGATCTCTGTGAGTTCAAGGCCAGCGTGGGCTACAGAGTGAGTTCCAGGAAAGGTTCCAAAGCTACACAGAGAAACCCTGTCTTAAAAAAAAAAAAAATCAAATCTTCAGAACCCGCCCCCCATCAGTGTATCCACATTCTCTGTCCTAGCTTTGAGACTTTAGCCCTCGGCTGGCTTCTCTAAGGGTACCCACAAGACAGTGTCAGTGTGGTGGCTATAGATAAGCAGGGACCATACAGAATGACCCTTATTGCGGGGCCTGGCACAGGGTACCAGTGCCA